CGTGTATTATCATATGAATAAATTAAATCGATTWATGGTTATGATGAGCATAAAATGATAGGTTAGATAGGCTTAAATTATTCTGATCGTCAACATAAATCAAGAATAACACGGACGTAAAAGCGATTATAAGCAGGACTGGCAAAGTTATAATAAAGTTATACATGACGAAAACGAWTGAAATTTTCAAATTTAATTTAACAGAAAAATAAAGAAATATAATTAAATAGTGCAAAAATAAACATAATAGTTAACATAATATATAGAATATCACAAAAAAATATCCTTGTTAGAAGCACTTTTTATGTTATTAATGTTAATGATATTTTATTTTTTATTTACTTATAATAAGTAGTTACAAAATGTTTCAGTGCTTACGACTGCTATTGCTGATCTTATTTAGCAAATATATTAGTAATATTAATGATAGGATAGCTAACTAAGCCAACTAAGGTTAAGAATATTGATGATATTGGTAATTACTTGGTAATACATTACTACCTACTAATAATATTTAGTATTTAGTATTCGCCTGCTGATAAAAACTCTTTGGTGTCCGTTATACTTATAAGCATGTCAACTGAGAATTGGAAAGGTTGAGGATTTCGTGAATATAAAAATAAAAATAGCTGCAGGCATTAAAGCTGATACTCGGAGAAGTCCAGCTTTGATGTTCTGTAGTTGAGAGAAGTCTATTTCACTTATGACTTTGGATGATGTGTTTGTATAGTGTATTATCTTTATCTTCTTTCAAAGCTGTTCGGAATTATTTCGGACATGCGTTTGATCTGTTGGCATATGGAGTGCTGTGTTTTGTAACCAAATTGGTGTTTCAGATGATGTGTAGATAAGGATTGATCCTCTTCCTTATAGAATATAAAAATGAGTCATTGGACGCAAAATTATATCAGACATCCCGATATCCGAATTATTCTAGATCAATTARATTAATTAATCTAGTTTTCATAAAGTTAGATATTCAGAATTTTTAAAATACGAATATGCACATCACTATATAGTTATAAAATTGACATCCTTTTCGCTTTTTCACTTTTTAGTCCATACCTACGTAAAGTATTCGTATTTTTTCATTCATACTTATTCTGAATTCTGATTGCACGGAAGCTATAAACTACTTTTATGTTAATTTTTAATATATTATATTTTTCCGTTGCACTAAAGTCGCCTTTTAATATGAATGATATATCTGCTCGAAGTTCTGTGCAATTTAATTATTTATTGATAATTTCAGTTTCCACTTTATTTTATTTCCATTAGTAAGATGAATTTTTTTAAGTTTATTTATGAATTTTTAATAGGAATGAAACGGTTTGGTATAGAAAGAGATGCATTGTTTTTGGGTGGGTTTAATAGTTTTGCTTTGTGATCTAAATTCTATATCTGAGTTTGGAGAAGTTGATTGGGAGTCATGTTCTGGGTTAAATTTGATTTTTTTTATAATGAGTGGAGGAATGACCTTACGATCTTTAGTTGGGGTTCTTTTTGTGAGTGTTACAATGKTACTTAGTATCAGTATTGGAAGAAGAGTTCAKAATTATTGAGTGTATAATATGTTTTAGACGGGATTATCTGTTCATCACCAGTAGACGGTGGTTTTATCGCGATATTATTAATAATTGTGGCTTGCACTTTGGGTCATATATATAATGATGTTTATTCGTTACCAGAGATACTGGCATTGTACTTTTGCTGTAGTCACTGTTATAGAGAGCTACAAAAACGATACACGAAATTTACGGGCGTATGTGATTTGCGTTTAGTAACCTATTTAAAAAAAATTGTGTTTTAAGCCACAAATAAAAATTAATTTTGATAATTTGTGCCTCGTTAAACTAGATAAAGAGTATCATGTAATAGGAGAAATCTTGTGCCTACAAAAATTATAACTATAGTACCACTTTTAAATAATTAGTAATATTTTTTCTCAACTTATTCATATTTATTTTATTGTATTTTATTTTATTTATCAATTAAGTTGATTTTAATATAAAATTGGCAAAAATGGGGAATATTTTAACAACATTACTCGTTATTCAAACGTTCATGTTTTTAATGTTATTGTCCACGTTTTATGTGCTATAACTGTTATGAACCCGTGGGTAAATGTATTTTGAACTATTGAAATATAAACCCTGGCACAGCGCACAGGCCACAGATTACATATTACTTAATATTTTTTTTTATTTTGACAGTGTTTACATAATTTACTTAAATATACACAATAGTGGCGTAAATTACAAGTGCTAAAATAACTGCTAAATAATATCAAAATTACGTGTGGTCTCTATAGACTATAGAGTGTCCATGTCCATACTCGTAACAAAATAGTAATTTAACATTATACACCTTATAATCTTTGTAACCCCACGCCTCCACATCATTCGACGCCTAATATCAATGCGCAGTAGTAAACTGTAAAACTGAAATAGAATAATTTGTACGGTAAAATTGAACACTTACGCACCATTTATGGTACCATCAAGACATAAGTCCCGAACGTATCCTGGAATTAATCATAGTYTAACCTTGTTTAACCACAGCAATAAGTGGAGTATGGAAAGAGACAARATATTGATGGCGATTTTTGTTTGGTCGCGTTAACTCATTAATCATCATGTATGGTAATGCAGGGAAGTAGGGTAAAATATATAACTGTACTTTCAGACTTTATCATTATATTTTTTYCGTCAATACAGGTTGCATCACTGCGATATGTTTTACCGCCGCCAGTAATGCTGTTGTTACTTGTTATACACAGTTCTAGTCTACATTTATAGTATTTTGTACACTAATATAATATAGTCTGTTAGTCTGTACTATGAGGTCTGTGGATTCAACTAACTTTAAAATTTGATTTTGCATCGTTCACGATTAAAGAATGTAATATAAAGATATATTTAAATCTAGATATTACCTTTAATCGTGGTGATAAACTCACTTATACGAATGTTACGATGAGACAACTATATTCGGGCTATAAAAACACTTGTGACTGATTATGCAGACCAGATTCAAACTAAAGTGATCTCCAGCAATCGATACATCTTGTAGAAGCGAATTTAAGTTCCTACTCGAGACCGAGGTGGTAAAAAATATACATATTATATTATTATGTCAGTTCCTACACAATATAAAGAGGTACATACACGTCAGGAAAAATGATTATATAATATATTTGAGTACACAGTTAAGAAAAATCAAATAGTATGGATATAGTATAGTATTGTGTAATATTATCTATTAAGTGTTTATATTTATTATTAAACTAGGTATATTTCATATTATAGTAAATATACTCTGATACTCAAACTGATTATAATGTGTTTTGAAAAAAAAAAATAGTAAAAATCACTTAATACATTTTTCAAATAAATAGATAAATACTAATTTTTCCACCGTATATATATAGGAACTAGAAAACGAAACTTTTTATGCCGTATAGGAACTTACACATGTGATTTTTATATTCTTGTRTATAAATTAACGTATGTAATTGTTTAACTGCTGCTTCTCGTGTAGGAATTTACTATTTCCCATCTTGTCGTTATGAAGAGAGCACAATATTCTCAAAGGGTAAAAACCTAACCTATAGTCGCTAAGAAATTTCACCCGGTGGARCCAAAATAAAACGATTACATCAAACACGCCTTTTGCCCAGCAAATATTTTTCTCAGTAACCGGTCAACATAATATATCTATAATAAGGACAAAATATCCCACGGTCAAAATAAGTTCACTGAATGTATACTAAATGATCAAAATCAACTCGTATATTATATAAGACATGTGTGTGTGTGCTTTTTTTTCTAAAAAAAGTTGTCTATGCTTGAAATTTTATAAGTTAATATTTGAGCTAATTTTTATTAGAAAATATAGTGTTATTTACAAATTTTTGTAATTTAATAATTTTTCATTTTAACTTATATTGATGTAGTTTATATTATTTGAGTATATCAACGTTTCAAAATATTATGTTTTTCTTCAGCATTAAAAATGTTTTTTTCTAAATTTGAAATTATAGTATTTATGAGGACATACCTATTATATTTAAAAATTCCGAAAGTCAAAATTTGAATTAACTCATGAGTCATCATTAAAGGATAKAATGAGCATGTTCGGTAAATCACCTTGTATATTTGAAACAACATATCTCGTGAAAACGTCGAATGGTGTATTTCGCGTTGCKCGCAAAGACRCGTTAATATATGAAATAAAATATTAAAGTATAACAATCCGGAATTTCGTGTAATCGTCGAGCGGTGCAATGCTGCTAACATTAAATTGTACGGTCGCAACGATCGCCACGAGACGAATTCCTTTATTGCCCAATACCATTATATACCATGTGTGTGTGTGTGTGTGTCCAGTGTTTAAAGTTTAAACGTCCAATTCTAACATGTCACACACGTTGCTCATTCACGTATATATATATATATATATATTATATATAGGCATATAAGTAAATTACTTCGTTGTATTTTGTATACTATGCAATTATCACAATAATAATAATAACAATATAGCAGTATATACGAACACGATAGTAATATATTATATACAATTATCATTATCATAGGCTACTTATGTAGTGCGATATATATAATATGCATTTTAAGAAATAATCTCACACACGTGACACGTAAAAAATATGTAAATATATCTTGTACGATGTATAAATAATATAATCCAAGCATATTTAGTGTATAACTGCATAAGACGACGTGTACCTCTGACCAAACTCGAAGCAAACCTGTTTCACGTTGCGCACTCGTCGTCGGACCGCCGTCACCAGTGGTTAGATTATTATTATATATTCGTGTCTGCAGCGCGCTGCACTGGACGTGCATTCCGTGTCTGTGTCCAGAGCGCATCAGCACTTGTTGCGGCGGCGTTCAAATTTTCAGCGACTGTATAATCATTTTACTCGACACCGTCTTCGGAAGATTCAAAAACAAGATTAATTCGAATTTCCTCACACAATGGTGGACATCGACAACGTGCTGGTGTCGTTGGGCATGGGCCGGTACCAGTTCGTGGGTTGCATTCTGTTCGGCTTGATGATAACGTATTCGAACGTGTCGCCTGTCACCTACGTCTTCACCGCCAGTGATTTGAAATACAGGTAAGCGGGTGAAAAACATTACGTTGGTTACTATTTACCCATACAAATATTTAATATTATGCTGTTCCGTCTGAGACACTGATACGTACGAATTAGGTACGGTCTATTTGGATGAGTGCACTAGTGCATTACCATAAACWCGCGGTTTCCAAATTTTAACGACGACGGCACCCTTAGGAAAAAGTTCCGTAGAATCTCAATGTCCGTAAAACGAATATTTTCTAGTGATATTATACTTAGTAACTATTATTTTAATGAACTTTTTTTCCAAGTCTAATATGAAATCATTTTCTCGAAATCCACGTACATCTGTCGGAACCCTCGAGATTGTCTCACGGAACACTAAGGTTCCGCCGCGGACCACACTTTAGGGATCACTGTCATAAGCCGTTATTCGGATTAAACTACATGAGACTCCAAAGTGGTAACCTAATTTGCACTATACTTACAAGTTATAAATTTATTATTGAAATGTGAAACAAGGAAGAGAGAAGTATACACAAACCTGTAGTTTGTTTAACAAAACAAAACTAATGAAACGAAATTGATACTCAGTGAAGTAAACGGACAATTTCAATGCAATTACTCAAAGTGCTTCAAAATGATTGAAACCATACTTAACWTAGCTATATTTTAAACTCTATAAGCAATGCGATAATAATGTAATTGGTCGTACAATTTTTATTTTTGTTCGACTATCAATGGCTTTTGGAGGGGTTAAAATGCTTCAATCTTAAACTTATTGAAGCTCGTGGAAAATTGAATCTAGTTGRTATTTTGGGATAGAGAATCAAAAATAAAAACTACCAGTAATTTGCACGATAATCGGTAAAAGATGAACAAGAAATCCAAAACCGGGAAGATTAAGCGTTTAAAGCTCAAATTTCAAATTTAAATTTTTTAAATTTTTGGCTATCCAATATTACTTATTATACTCTTCTATACACAACGATATTTTCGAAATATTCAGAATAACTCTAAGCTATTTATAAGTGTTTGAAACTTTGAAATGTATAAAATATGTTGAAGATTTTTTCTTTTTCTTCGTTAGAATTTATGCTTATAGAAATTTAAAAGTATTGAAATATATAAGCTGATTTTCTTCTATGTGTTTAAGGTTTAAACATTTTTCAAAATTTTCATATAATTATATAAACTCCAAAATTTAGAACCGATTAATCTTACTATATATTGTGTTGGTGCCCACAATATGATTTTATATTTAAAATGACTTATCACAATTATAATAATAATAATAATATAATTACTGSCAATATTATCACATGAAAATATTTATGACGTAGGTTGCATCATATTTTAATTTTATATAATTTATTAGTTTTCGCTATTATTATACCGTACGGGGGAGCCATTATGTTGATACGCCTTAATATTCTATTTAAATAACTTYAATTACTTATATTTTATTATACGTTTAACAATTAACAATGACATCTAGAACTAAAATAATTATTTAAATCTATATATGAATAGTTATATCATACATTTAATATGAAATTAAAAAAAAAAATACAGATAAGTTATGTTTTACAGAGTAAGCGAACAATAATTTCTGTAACTACTAGGTACTCATTAATGTTATACATTTGTACTTTTAGTATTTGGAATTTGGATAAGTAAATATTACAAGCTATATTCCAATAAATATTTTATTTAATGAACGTGAACTTGTAAAATAAAATTCGATATAATTGATTAAATATATAAAAATATTTTACGAATTTTGTTTTGCTTTCCTCAAATTTTTTACAGTTAACATTTCCAACTTTTTTGCCTTGAACTAAAACATGCAATTGTTAATCGTATTTGAATATTTTATAATTCGTTAAGATTTAAATTAGAAAAAAATATTTTTTTAAGCTGCCTATATTATTTAAATCTATATGGAATAATGGAATAATTTGAAATAAATCGAGTTATGCTTTCTATTTTTTTATGTAATTTATCGTTAACCAATTACCAAATTTCATCTTGAAATTATTGGAAGAAAGACTACATCCGACCATAATATAATAATTTATATATGTACCTATTTTACATAATATGATGAATAATGATATTTTTATTTTCATAACTTCTCTGATAAGTTATTTCTTTAAAACCCAGTTTTWAAAAAAATTCTACTTTAAACCTCTAATCAGATGTTTATAAGATAATTAACGTATTTTGCGGAAGTTTGACTCTGAATAACCAATAGTAAATTTTTCTTATGAATATTTTTTGGTAAACGGACACTTTGAACWATCTTTTGTATCTATTGTTTGAGTTGCATACCACAGGTACTTTGTAAAACGAAAATAAATTGGTAAAAGTCGATCGCGGGCACATAATACGATGATAAAATTTGGTAAAAATCGATCGAGCACCCTTTGTACGATACAAATAAACCAGGAAATATATTTTAATTACTTATTCAACTTTTAATTTTTAAATTTATATAATATTATGACATACAATTAACAGTAAATGTTTTAAAAATTCACTCAGCCTGACAGGCCTGTAATATTTTAATTATTTCTACCCGAAAATATTAGAACGATTTTGTATGAAAATTAACTRCGATAATGACATGTAAGTATAGTGATAAAAAAGCGAAATATTTAAACATCTATTTTTATTTTACACTAGTCGTGAGTACAGATTATAGGTATACCAAAACAAAAAATGCATTATGACACCTCGATTATGACATTTTCATTGTATGAGTAGATATAGATAAAACGAAGAAAAATCAGCTGTTGAATAAAAATCGATTGTCGTATATATGTATATGTATCAGTGTGAATCCTTACTAAAGGATGGTTGACGGGAATCATGAATTCATGGCAATAATCGGCCATTATATACGAAATAAATGCACAAATACATTAAGTATAAATTAAAATGTAATTAATGAATTAATATAGGATACTTAAACACAGAGAAGAATTTACAACAGCAGCTGTCTGAAGTTCGTCTGAGCTTTTAATGCTCGTATATCAGATATTTGATATATTTGGCAGTACATCGACGTTTTAAGAAAAGTAATATGGTTGAATAAAATGCAAATTATTAAATCGAAAACAACAAAAAGGTGGTGATAAGAATTTGATATAATAGAACTCCAGATGTGTAAGAACGTTATGTAAAAGGGTCGAATTAGGAGGTCGATGAACTTAAGAAAAAAACTTAGGTAAATTATAAAGGGACATTTTATACGTGTGCAGTGTTTTATATTTATTTCATAATAATTATCGCAATGGGAGACTGACATGCAACATGAATTAATCAAATATATATTGTCAGAAATAAACACAATGTATAGGGTATTTGTAGCAAATGTATATCAACTCAGTACTAATATGCGTTGTAGTCTGAAATTAAATTATTGTCCAATAATTGAATAGATGATTGAAATATTATATTACTGAAACTTAAACATATTTTAATCAATACTAATTAGGTTTTACGACACTACCCGTGAGCGGACGATTGATATTCGAATCAACCACAAATCACAATATTAAAAATACACAAGCTCCGAACACCATCTGTATCGGGAATTTAGAACCGATTGACATTCGAAATCATCCTGAGCTTGGCACTTGACTTTACTGTGTTTAATCGTTTAATGCACAATAAAGTTAATTAATACTGGACTGTTTGATTATAACACTATAATTAGTACAAATTACTAACTACCTTGTCTTAGTAAATAGTTAACTATAATAATTATGCTATAACTTGGTGCGTTATAAATTAATTGTCTTGAAAATTAAAATCAAAACCATATTACAGTGATGTAGGTATACTTATAAATAATAAGCTTCATAATATCATACGTGTGGACAAAATACATTTTTTCGGTGAAATAATAATAGCAACTGGCATGTCTTGACATGTAACGCGAATTAGATTATTCTATGGCCATTCTCATTTCACATACCTGATGTTCAAATAACCCAATGAAATGCGTCACTGCAAAATATGCTCGCTTAAACGATGACCAACAAACATAATATTATGTTTACCGTCGTAATTTTGTTGTGTTATGGCCATGTGTGGGGGTAAACCATTTGCACAACACTTATTTCCGGACGCAACATTGTTTATTGAGAAAAAAAATAAATACAAATTGCATTAAAAAATTAAATATAAACAATAATAAAACAAATAGAGACATATGGCCCATCATAGTGATCGCTTGTCCCTCTCCAGAGGTGGCATAGGATATGAGTGAAGACTCATCGTAGTGGTCCGTGGCACATAGCGTGTGCTAACTACATAATAATATGTGTTTAACGACAATTGACAGCGAAACACCGGCGCCACTAATTCTGTGTTCGTTTATTAGAACGTCCGTAAATGTGTGTAATATGAAACATTCGTATTTATTCAACATTATAATAATATGTGGTTATCGTTATTATCATATTATATCCCTACGCATAGGCGTGCGCAGACCTTGCTGACAGTGGGGGGGCAGAATGTATATATTATATACTATATAATAATATATAATTGAATAGGTATTATTATGATTATTAGTATTATTGTCGCGTATCTATTAATACACATTATCAACGCGGTATCGCTTGTGGTTTGAACAAAGTTGGACCTTTGACAACACAAAATTATCGTGCGCCGTATACTCAATATTTACAATACAGTAGGGTCTCGATAATCCGAACGAGATTGGGGAAAGGGGTCGTTCGGATTAGCGATTTGTTCGGATTACCTATGGCTTAAAAAAAAAAAACATCAATTTTATTTTTATTTTAAATATGAAATTTTATTTTTATTTGTATTAATCGTGTAAAAACTCGTTATTTCAAAAGACATTGAATACATAAAAATATTAATATTAATTATGAA